CATACCTTTAGCAACGACAATGAAATCATCGTAAGAATTTTCGTCGCTAAAAGTATTTTTTGTAGTATTTTATGCAATCAGACTGGAAGAGAGTGGATATGATCAATGAAGACAGGGAGTGTATCATGCTGGATATCATCCTTGATAAAGAAAACCTTGAGCGTGATCGGATTATGAAAGTAGCCACAAAGTACTGCGCTATGAAGAATCAAGGCAAGTAAGGGAAGGAGACAAACTACTTCTGAAAACAATGCTTTTGAAGACAAACAATATGCTAACTATTTTTTATTATGTGTGTGCTTTTGAGAACAAACAAGGTATTCAGTATTTTTCTTATGGGTGTGTTATAACTTACATTTGAAACACTACTTATTATGGTTATGTAACAGCCTAATACTTTATGTTACCCTTTATTAATGTCACAGATCAAAGATTACAGTCATCAAAATATTTATACCATAGTATTCCATATGGTATAACATGGTATAAACGGTATAAACATTTTTAAATACACCACAACAAGCCACATGGTATTTTATGGTACCTGAACACAACACAAATCTAAGATTACAGTCATCAAGAATGTTTTTACCATAGTATACCATATGGTATAACATGGTATAAAGATTTTTAAATACACCAGAACACGCCACATTTTATTTTATGGTAACTGAACACAATAGAGATCTAAGATTACAATAATCAAAATGTTTATACCATGGTATACCATATGGTATAACATGGTATAAAATTTTTTAAAAACACCACTACACTAATATGGTAAAAGTAAAAATAATAAAAAACACCACCATGACAAAACCATAGTAAAATATTATATCAAAGGTTAAATTCATCCACGAAACATTAAATCCTTCTCATGTGCATATCAATACTACTTCAAACAAAAGCAAAAAACAAAAATGCAAGAAACACATAAAATTCAACATCAAAACAGCTAATAAAACTCCACAGCCTTCAAACAACTATCACAACTTCAACTTCAAACTTTTCTTCCACAGCCTTCAAATTCTCCTCTTCCAATCTGCTAGTCTTTTTCTTCTTCCTACTAGCCGCCCTTCCAATCTCAGTTTCTATAATAGGTCATTTCGAAGGCTTAAATGAATCCTTCTTAGGCTTAAACCCCTTCACATTTCGAACTGGAACATCACCTACAAATAAGAAATACATACTACAATCAATACCATATAATACCATATGGTATTCCAACACATTACCAGAAACAATAAAGAAAACCACACTATACCACTTGGTACAACATGGTAAAACAACTTCGCAAACAAAAAAACATCACAAAATTATATACACCATCACAGCAAAGAAATGGTGCAAAAAAAGAAAGAAAGGAACAATAAACTTATCACAAATGAAACATATACCACATTATACCATATAGTATTAGGAAACATCACAAGTAAAAATCCGAAAACCACCCTATACCACATGGTACAACATGGTAAAAAAACTTGGCAGACAAAAAAATAACAAAATCATATACACAAACAAAAGGGGGCCAGGGAACTTACTCTCACAGTTAGTCGATCCACCCGTACCAGCCGTTTCGACAGTTGGTAAAGCTTCACACTTCTTGATCAAATCACTCATGAAATCCATGGTTGTTTTTATACAAATCATCATTCAAACAAATCCTACTGATAAGCGAAGCAGAAACAGCTGAAATATTGAACAGACGAGACCGATACTTTGATGGAGCTTCAGTAGACGAAACTACAAATCCAAAATCTCCACCAATTTTTGTTGTCCTTGTCCATCGCTTCAAAATCAAACTAGAAGGGATGTGATGGAACTTCACATTGCAAGTTGTAGACCACAACAAATCATATCCCCTCAAATAATGCTTACACAACAAACCACTTGACTCCCAATTGCGACAAGTACACTTAATTTCACCATTATCAAAATCAACTATGAGCAGTCTGCTGTCAAACCTTGAAAAGTCTGCTAAGAATGTAAAGACATCAAAGATCTTTACATTCCCTTCTTGAGCTAACTGTGTATCAGGGAAAACATTGTATGAAAGAGATTCTTTGTACTGCCTGAGAAAAAGCTGGAATATTTATGGCGTATATAGATCAGCAACTTGCTTGACAATAGCACTTCATGAAAAGCAACAATCAGCAAATGTAGAAAGTGCTATGTACTCCTCTTCTTCTTCAGCATCTCTCTTATTATCAAGCATTCTATCAAAATGTACAAAGAACCTAGGAATACTAAATTATGACTGCAAGTAATGACGAAGATTACGGTTGCAACACTCGCTTAACTGGGTGCTCTTCATACCAGCACCAAAATGAGAATTCACCCAAGCCGATGACCACTTCTCCATGACCTTGTAAATACCTTGTAACCAACTGTGTCCAAGAGGTCCTTTCCCAGGGAAACACTTATTTATCATTTTTTTCCAATTATACTCAAAATCATCATCATCATCAACATTGTACATCAAATAGCTAAGCTCACAAAGGAAAGCCGAATCACACAAAGATCCCAGATTAACAACTGCATTCTGTGAGATATGCCATGAAACCAATCCATGGAAAGAACTTGGGAAACAGACCTTATACCAGCAGCAATTGCAGCAGCCTGATCAGTAAAAATAGATGATGGGCTCACACCTCCCATGCATTCCAAAAACTGATTAAACAACCACTCAAACGATGCCGTTGTTTCATCATATAGAAGGGCAGCTGCAAACACAGTGAGTTGATGATGGTTGTTGAAACCAAAAAACAGAGCTGCACATACCATGTGGTACACAGTGTTAAAAAATGAATACCACAAAATACCACCATAGTATTAACAGATAACAACATAATGAATACCACAAAATACCACCATAGTATTAACAGATAACAACATAATGAATACCACAAAATACCACCATAGTATAAACCAATAACAACATAATACCAAATCAAAATAACTATAATACAAAATAATCACAAATATAAGAACACATACCTAGTGGTCGATACTCTTTATTCGTTCTGTAAGTAGAATCAAAACTAACTGAATCCCCAAAAAAATGATAATCTATCCGCATCTTCCCATCTGCCCAAAAAATACTAGCAATATTCTCGTCCACATCAACCTCTACCTCATGAAAAAAACCAGGATCCAGCTTAGCTTGTCGCCTAAAGTATTTTAACAATGCAGTTGCATCACCATGCTCCATTGATGACGTCCTCACTGTCTGCAGGTGGTTCTTCAAATTATTTCTTGTGAAACCAATACACTTCCGACCACCACCAGCTGTACTAATTGCATTATATGAAGCAGTCACACCTATACGAGCATCATCATTCACATCTGCCAACATTTTATAGACAGGAGCCATTTGTCTATTTGATCTCATGTAGTGACGCATACTCTCAGGAATCATGTCATGGTTATGCACATCATACCACTTATAAATCTTATAACACTTAAACTCCATAAACCACCTAATTCGAATATAGGCACCATCAAATCCACCCCTGATTTCTGGAACACGACGAACACGATCCTTCACATCAATAGAACCATGATTAGCAGGATTATTCTCACTACCAATCCTCCAGCCTTCCTTATTGCAACAATACTTGATATAATAAACCGCCATTGAACCATTATTAAGCTTTGGACATGCCGACTGATGGGAAATTCTCACACAAAAACCTTTATAGTTCCCATAATCTACATAAAATCTATATGCATCATCAGTTGTAACGAACTCAAGCTTGTTCCAGGAACTTCGAACATTAGGATCTATACCATCAAAACCTAAAATATAAAAAGAATGAAACATTAATTCTGTACAAAATGTAATACCACCATAGTATAATATGGTAAAGTTTATTACATTCAAAAACTCTACAAATACCAGTATGGTTTTTTATGGTATAACATGGTATTCTATGGTATAACATATGTACAGAAACATAAAATCACAACAACTATAAAAACAATCTACACCAAATAAAATACAACACTCATATGCAAAAATACCATAAAATACCAGTATCGTATTTATGGTATAACATGGTATTGTATGGTATAACATATATACAAGCTTCAACTTACCAAACACATTTAAAATTCTTACCTCCCGATTCAACAACGCTATGAGAAGAACTAGATCCAGTATTAGATTCATTAAAAGAAACAATGACGCCTTGATTAAGATCACTCATTGCACTAAAAAAGCTGAGTCAACAGAGAAGATTCTTCAAAAAATTCATGCACAAAACATAAATTCAACTACGGATCAATCAACTGAACAAACTTATACAAAACAGATCAAACTTATACAAACAGATCACCAAGAATAGAAAACAGAGAGCACAAAAAAGAAAACGCAGATAAATCATATATACACAAAATAAAAAACAAATTACAGAACGGGATCAATGCGAAAACATAAAATCCTACTATAACTATAAATTACCTCGACGGAGACATAACAACAGCCAGCAGAAACTTCAACACAAGCAAAATCGCGCCACAACCTCGAGCAATAAGAAGAAAAGAGAAGAAGAAAACCTAACAACTAATAACTTGCAAGTCCGCCGCCGATTAAGCTAAGAATTACGTCCTCCACTGACCTTCTCGCCATCGAGTAATTCTTCGAAGAAAAGCACTCGATTGCTCTGTTTACTTCTCATTCTCTCTCATAAATCCAATTCTAGCTCGGCCGAGAATAACCAAAAAGGAATAAAGAGGGAAAGACATAAATTCAAATAATGGACAAAAATACCCCTGCCCCACCACGCTCCAACCCCAGCCGTTAGATCTCCCCGCTCAGATCGACGGCTCCTGTTGGGTTACTGACGGGTGCATAACCATGGGTTGTGCAGGAATTTCGTATTATGGTTTGGCTGATCAGCCTTCTCGTTCGGATCTTGAGGCTCTTTTTCCTTTGCCTGACTTTCCTTCACCTGCTGTGGCTGCTGGTGAGCTTCTTGATCCACCGTCCCCTCCTCATGCCACGTCCTCCATCGCCTATGACTGGTCCGCTTCTTCTACGGCTTCACCAACGCAGTCCACCCCCCAACTCTCCACCTCGTCTCACTTCCCGCCCTCGTCTACTTCACCTACTGCCCAGTCATCCTCGACTTCTTCGGGGGCTGCGTCTACACCTCCGCGTGACCCCTCCCCTGCTCCCGAGGATCTTGCTCCACCACCTCGTCGATCCCAGCGTGCCATCAAGGGAGTTCCACCTCTAAAGTTTGTCTGCTTCGTCGTTCTCTCTATGGTCTTAAGCAAACTCCGCGGGCTTGGTTTGAGAAATTTCATGATACGATTCTGTCTGCTGGTTTTGTTCAGAGCGATACTGATCCATCATTGTTTCTACGTCGTACAGCTTCGGGCATTACGGTGTTGCTCATTTATGTTGATGATATGTTGGTGAGTGGTGATGATATTGCTGGCATTCAGACGCTTACCCGTACTCTACATGCTGCTTTCAATCTTAAAGAGCTAGGTGATGTCTCTTATTTTCTTGGTCTTGAGGTTCATCGGTCCTCTTTTGGTTTATTGGTCAGTCAACAGAAGTACATTATGGATTTGCTTGAAACTGCTCATATGGATAGTTGTGTTCCATGTGCTACTCCCATGGAGCAAAACTTGAAGTTACAACAGGCAGATGGAGATTTACTTCCTGATGGTTCGTCTTATCGCAGTCTTGTTGGGAGCTTGATTTACCTTACTCATACTCGACCGGATATTTCGTATGCTGTTCAGGCTGTTAGTCAATTCATGGCTGCTCCTCGTACTACTCACATGGATGCGGTCAACCGAATACTTCGGTACCTTCGTGGTACTTCTGATGTTGGTCTGTTCTTTCCTTCTTCTGGTGATGCAATTATTGAGGCTTATGCTGATGCGGATTATGCTGGTAGTCTTGATACTCGTCGTTCTACTTCTGGGTGGTGCATTCGGGTCGGCTCCTCTTTTGTATCTTGGCGGTGCAAGAAACAGGAACGTGTTTCCAAATCTTCTACTGAAGCTGAGTATCGTGCTATGTCTGAGGTCACTTTTGAGCTAGTCTGGCTACAGCGCTTACTGTCTGAGCTTGGTATGCCCTGTGCTGTTCCTATGCGCTTGTATGCAGACAATACCAGTGCTATTCGAATTGCTACGAACCCCGTTCTGCATGATCGCACGAAGCACATTGAAGTTCACGTTCACTATATTCTACAACTGGTGTCTGAAGGCGTGGTTGCGTTATCCTATATCACTTCTGAGGAACAAACTGCTGATTTGCTCACCAAGGCAGTTGCTTCGTCTCGACACTGGTTTCTTGCGTACAAATTGATGTTGCGTAAGCACCATCAATTTGAGGGAGGGTGTTAGTAGTTCTGGGTAGTCAATTGTAATTTGGTCATTAATCCTTGTGCTAGTAGATTTGGGTAATCCGCTTGGGTTTGGGACAGGGTTGCTCGGCTAGTATATATATGTTGATTGGCCGGCTTATGTAACTTAAGGATTATTGGTGGAATACAATTGACTCTGAGAGGTTGCTCCTCTCCGTGGATTAGTCTCAACAATACTTTGAGGATACCACGTAAATCTCGGTGTTCTTGTTATTGTTTGTTTCTTGTTATTATGTTCAACATGGTATCAGAGCCTTCTGTGACCGAGAGGTCTTGTGTTCGATTCCTGGTGACCCCATTTGTTAAGCACATGGTATTCTTGTCTTTAAACCTGTGCAAACTTCAAGCCCTTGTGACTTGTGAGTGGCTTTCGTTTGAGGGGGCGTATTAGTGTTGTGGTATACGATCCACGATTGAACCTCTCCCAACAACTAGATTTATTATGCACCCTATCTTGGACCCATTTTCCCATGTGAACAACGATTTTTCGGCAACCTAATTAATATTTGTTGCCAACTATTTTTTTAATTTTCAATTTTCAAAATCAATTTCTATAAAATTATACATTCATAATTTTAGTTTCCACACCCAACAAACTAAGAAAACCATCGTCTGAAATATAGAAGCTCTTGCCGCCGACAAGACATTTTCGTCGCAAAAAAACATTTGAGTACCCTAGCTAGACGACAATATTTAGCGTCAGTGAATGTAATCAAAATCAAAATTTTAAGTAAAATTGGAAAATGAATTAAAATCGGAATCGTTGATTAAAATCGTTAATATTTTTCGTATGTACCGACTACATCTACGTACATATTAAGGCGGATGGCTAACTACAAAATAGTACATTAAGTTTGATATTTCAACAGCTTCTCCCCTGCCTGGTCTCAGCTTACGCTTCGCAATCGTCCACTCACAATATAATGGAGTTGGTTTAGGATATTTGTTATTCTTGGATGAAGGTGGGATATCCTCTTTCATCGCTTCTGATGATTTCACACAAAAGCATAAGGGGGTAGGATACTATGCATACCTTTAAAGAGGTTGGTTTTTTGACACCCCTTCTCAATTGGTCAATTTTTTCATTAATCATTGACAAGTATTAATGAAGGTAGACATAATAAATGTTATGTTGTTAAATACAAAGTAAGCATTAAATACACCACATTAATTATTTGTTTTTAATTCTCTCTCCCTATCTCTGATTCTTCCTTTCCCAGCAGCCTCCGACCACCAAGTTTCCTCCGACCACCATACTTCGTCGGTAAAATCTCGCCGACAAACTCTCTCTGGTCACCTGCGAAAATATACCAATGCACTGATATGTTGTACCACTGTACTGGTATTTGTACCACTGCACAGATACTCAGATATAATATCGCTACCAGTGCACTGATATCGCTACCAGTGAGTATTTAATGTGTGTATTAAATTCTATAATTGTATTTAATATCCTAGAGGGTGTCATTTTTCCAACACTAAGGGGTAAGCATGCTAATTACCGACCCAAGCATAAGGAGCTCTCCGTATATGTTCCACATTTGAGACATATTTTATCCAAATCTTGATTAGAATTGAATCTTGTCGGCAAGAGTCTCAATTTCACATGCTATAATTTTTTTCTCTCTATCACACTAAAAAACCACCAACAATAACAATATATCTTTCTCTCTGTTCATACCAGTTTATCTATCAATGGATCTCAAATTATACTATCAATTCCTTTGGCCAATGGCCTTACTTCTCTTTCTCTACCTCTCGTTCAAAGAGAAGGAAAGAATGCACTTTTGTTCTTGCGTGGTTTTTTTCCCTGTCTTTAAATTTCCATGTTAGTTGTTGTCATGTCAAATTGTCAAATGCTCTGATTTTAGGCTTTTGAGAGGGTTTATCAAGATAATAAAGGAAGAAATGCTGAGATATAATCTAAAAGGAAATAACCGGAGGTCCACATTAATGCAAACTTGGGATGGGATTAGGTGCTAACCCTTATAGGGGTTAGCACCGTGATAACTAGCAAAAATCACTACGGATTATTATAAAATCAATACAACATCTAAGCTAAAATTACTACTAATTCAAACTAGTAGTAGTTTTTCTCTTGGTTAGGACGGTGCTAACTATTGTACAATTAGCACCGTAGCCGTTCCCTGCAAACTTCCCAAAAATTTATTTATGTAAAAAAGCCCATAAAAAGGCCCAATTAGCTAGATAGTTTAGACAATGGGAACCACACTTCAGCTTTATATATATTTACTTGATTCCATTGATCTTGAGCTGCGAAAAGTTGGTTAGTGAGGTCGACTTGCACACACACTCTAGCATACACACATCTATCCCTAGTGCTAGTAACCTAGACAATACGAAATTGTATGCCAATTTTCTTTGCAATGTGCATCACTACATCCGGATGCATATATTGGATGGGAATTTCAAGTAGCCTTGCCCAAGCTAATTGTCCCAAAGATGGACGGTAAGGTAATTATCTACCCACCATATCCATTCCCCCCCCCCCCCCCCCCCCCTAATCAATCGTCAGAGGACGTTGACCACCAGTATAGAATGACATGCTCGATTGACATAATCTTGATTTCTCTGCTGCTGAGACATACGTGGTTTCCCCGCTCGATATGAACGTGTCACGTGCTCTTATTGTCTTGCCCGTTTGATGCCTATTTCAGTTTGTTGCTATTTAGTTGTTGTTAGTGTTATTGTTGAGATCGTGTGCTATTTTTAAGGCCTTCATGATAGAGAACCGTTAGAGTCTCTTGTTTCTATTTAAGTTTGATTGAATGGAATAAAGGGTAGACAAGTATCAATTAAAGAAAACCATTAAGGAGGAAGGCTCCCTCTAAGGCGAACTATCCCTTTCTTCTCTATTCTACATATGTTCCACTCCCCTGCTTCTCTTTTCTTCTTTTTTTCTCCATTCCATATCTCACCAGAACCATTGCTTCACAACGAGACAAGGATATTTTGCCCAGACCTAGTCCCCAATCCCAGTTCGAGAGATGATAATTACACAAGTTTTTACCCTTATTCTTTAGCCGTTTGAGACATTGATTCTCGTGTTTTAAGCCGATTTCACGCTAGGTTGTGCGTTTATGTCATATTTCAGGGCTTAGCGTTGGCATCGAGGCGAAGGAACGAGTTTCGGGTCGAAAGGAGCACGTTTGGGTCGAAGTGTGCTGGAGCAGAAAAATACCCGGCCATGCGCAGAAATACCCGGCCGGGTATTATTTGGCCATGACCGGGGATTTGACGCTTTGGCGTCGTTGAGAAACAGAGAGTGTCTCGGTCGTGAAGCATAAATCCCCAGTCGGGGATTCTTAGAGAAGACTGGGGATTTTCCCCTGTTCCTAAACGCGCGTTTTGAATATACCCGGTCGACACCCAAAATTTCCCGACCGGGTATTTCGACCGCGGATCGCGACAGACAACTTCTTAAGGGAAAAGAAGGCTAAAATCAAGGGTTCCGAGTTTTAGAGAGACAGAGCGATTCCTAGAGAGAAAAAGCGACGAACAAGAGTTCCCAAGTGCCATAGCTTGATCTTCATCACCATTGGAGCCCGACTTGAGCTTGGAGAAGTGTCGATTGACGACCAGGAGCACCCTAGATCTGTAGGTTAGGTATGATTGTATGAACTCAAGTACAGATTTTATGATTTGATTATATTCAATTAAGGCTTGAATGATTGAATGACTTGAATCCTGATCAAATTCCTGTTATTTCTGCTTTAGCCTAGAATGAGAATATCTGCCTAGGTTAATAGAGCTCCCTTAATTGAAGGTAGTGAATTGGCGACTTTAGTCGAGGAGCCAATTCACTATTCTGTACCGAATTTGCTTCGGTA